CCGCGATTTTAGCTTGCTCAATGCAAGCATTTGCACGATATCGCGTGACAAACGCGCGATATTGCGTAAAATGCGAATCGCGCTACAAACGCAAATTGCAAAATTGCGCAAAGTTTACAAATCGCTCAATATGAATGGGGCCTAAGGGTCACCATACACGTAACAATCTGACCTTGCAATTTTTGTACCATCAGCTTTAGATTTAATGATCTATGTAATAAGAGAACTCACCGAATCTATACAATCAATCTATATCCAATCAGGCGCTTGCACTGCATTGTTGTTGGTGGATCTAAACAGGGCCAGATTAAGAGCATCACGGGCCTGGTGCTTTTGGTTGGTTGGACAGGAAGAAGCAGCTCACTAATTAGACAGCCGCTCGCTCCCTCACGGGGTCCCAGCGAGCAGCCGCCTAATATGCCTGCTTTAAGAAGGCACTGGTGCCTATGCCTTACATTGTTCAGCCCAGCCGGGCCAGATTTCCATCCGGTATACTGAGGCGATCTGGGCCAGCTGGGCCTATTTTCAGTGGTGGGCCTGGAGCTGTCACTCCAGTAGCCCCTAAGTCAATCTGGCCCTGGATCTAAAGGTGATGGTACAATCAGATTGTAACGTATGTGGTGAGCTGTAGAAGTAGAAGTCAAGGAAGTCAAGGTATAGAAACCTCCCTGCCGGAATTATTTGCACAGGCATTAGAAGACCTTCATGATTCAGTCCTCCAGCATGCACCCAAAACACAATTATCAATTCTGCGTAGAGGAATCACTGGGGAGGGGAGACTGAGAAAATGCTTCTTCCTGCCTGCAGCAGACTGATCACGGGGGGAGGAGAGACTTGGGAAATGCTTCTTCCTGCCTGCAGCAGACTGATGACTGGGGGAGGAGAGACTTGGGAAATGCTTCTTCCTGCCTGCAGCAGACTGATCACTGGGAGAGAGGAGACTGAGGAAATGCTTCTTCCTGCCTGCAGCAGACTGATCACGGGGGATGAGGCAACTTGGGATAATCTCCTGCCGTCTGCAGCAGACTGATCACTGGGAGAGAGGAGACTGAGGAAATGCTTCCTCCTGCCTGCAGCAGACCAATGACATCATCTCAGCCTATACAAAGTCACTGACTGGAGCTCAAGGACAGCTTTTTAATGATAAATGTTGGAGCCTTTTCTAAAACATTATACTGTTGCTATTTATTCAGACGTCACGTCATTAAAGTGACATTAAACCCTCAGATTTTTTAACATAAACCAATATTGTAATGTGTGCCTTACTGTAATCCATGGTAGTTTCCCTTCTCTTTGCTGCTCTTCCTTTTAAATCCTTATCTCTTCTCATGCTGGGGGAGAACTTCCCCTTGCAGCTGAGTGCCTATTCTTGTAGTTCTGGCTCAGGTTGTGAACCTGCACACAGACACCATGTATTCATTCCAGAGACAAGGCAGTCTGCTGCAAAACAGAAGTTCTGCCCAGCATGAGAAGAGATAAGGATTTAAAAGGAAGAGCAGCAAAGAGAAGGGAAACAACCATGGATTACAGTAAGGCACACATTACAGTATTGTTTTATGTTAAAAAATCTGAGGGTTTAATGTCACTTTAAGTTTATTTTATTACAGTTTTTTCAAAATGCTAAAATAGAGAACTGACAATAAAGGTCTAAACCTGATGCAGACACCACCCCACAGACACTTTCCAGGGAACAGCCAACGAAGGTGATGGTTATAGGAAGCTGTCTGTAGAAGTGCTGTAGAATATGTTTGTCCAGGATTGTGTCCAGGAAAGTGACAATGAACCCACATTAATGACCCCTTCCTCCGGCCATCAGGCCTGCAGTCACCTGAACATCTGTGACAGCTACATAGAGATCCAGTGACAGTTGACATAGTCGTCAGCCTTAGCTATGTGAACCAGTGTTATGCCATAGGGGCACCAAGGATCAGATTGGCATCTGCTGCCTGGGCACTGTCCTAATCCTCACCCCCTCAGTAATACAGCAGCAGATTTTCTTATCTACAGACAATAATAAGTTTAGTTTTGTGAGCTGACAACAGTAAATCAGAATCCAGCAGCTGGCATAGCCCCACATGACAAAGGATTTTTACTTATGTACAGCCAGTCCTAGGATTTACACAGCCCAGTGAAGACAGTGGAACGTGGTTGGTGACCGGATTTTTCTCTACTGCAGTTAAAAAAATATAGCCACGTCGCCTCCTTGTCCACAAACTATGATTGGACATTGAAGGAGCAGCAGCAGACTGATAAGCTCATCTCTTTGCTCCCCTATTAGCAGGCCCCTTGTTAGCTCATGTGCAGGCAACAAACCTCATTGGCTCTTTTTGCCGCCCCTCCCACTAATTATGAGTGTTCTGCTGTACAAGAGGCTGATGCCAAGATTAACTCAGGTATCTGCACTGGTTGCATTTAAACCACATTCCTGCTTTTGATAAATATAGGACTGCTTTGTATTTTGGTGGTATTTTAGGGCCGGTGCACACATCTAGGCGACACACCACCGCACGGCAATCGTGCACAATTCCACGCAGATTGCGCGCGGTCAGAAGTCGCCGAGGTGTGCAGTGCACCGATCGCGCTGTGGGTGCCATTATTTTCCAATGGTTCCCCAGTCTAGCCGGGCGGATTGTGTAGTTTCCCGCCGCGATTCAGCCCCTACTTCTGAACACGATCGCGGCTAAAACATCGTGCATTGTGTATCGCAGAACAAAGGTAACGGGGGTGCCATTGGAAAATAATGGCACCCACAGCGCGATCGGTGCACACCTGGGTAACTCCTGACCGTGCGGCAATCCGTGCGGAATCGTGTACAATTGCCGTGTGGTGGGGTGTCGCATAGGTGTGCACCGGCCCTTATATGTGCCCAGAGTTCAACTTTAAGGAGCTTCAGGGGTGTATGTGTAGGCTTTCATGGATGACACCGAAGATGGGTAGAAGGAGACATGCTGGATAATGGCTTTTGAATTGATCAACGCCATCACCCTATTGACTTTACATCACACCAGTGAGATAACATCACACATTACATTGCTCTGGTCACAAATCATTGGTGCCACCCTCATTCCTGTAACATGGCACTTCTGTGGTTTCAGTACATGGCATCTCTCTATCTCTGGTAACATGGGGTGGTCAGACACCACAATTTAACACCATACTAAAATATACATTGAGATTGACGTAAAAGTCAACCATCTGCGGACATCATGGAGCCCAGCCCAGTGCCATCCCTGCATTGTGCCACACAGCACCTTGTTCAGTCCCTGAGATGAGGTCACAGTGAGCAGGGCACCCAAGTAAAAAAACACTGTACCATATATATGTGTAATATATATTGTATTACAGGTGGCAGCACATATAACATTTATTTTATAGATTCTACACACGTGAGCCAATATGGCAAGCATGTTGCATCATATTATAGCATTGCTCATATAAGAAAGAGGAGGGAGAAGGTAGAGTGCCAGGTGTACAGTGCTGTGCCCCTTTCCCACCATAGAAGGCTGACAAGTGCATGGATTGTACTCCCATAGAAGAGCGCCAGGTGTTCAGCAATGCCCCCCCCCCATACAGCGTAGTACTGTACTCCCCCTTCCCCTACACATAGTCCCACCATCATATGCTAGGCTGTGCAGCACTGACAGCATGTAGGTTCTCTTAGAAAAGGATCGCAATTGTACTGCACATATACACTGAGAACATAATACTGTAAAGTGTATCAAGAAGAGAATACAAGGGAAGAGTCTGAACAGTGTAATGTATGTATTACAATTGGATGAATAACATATGGAACAGGTTATGTTGTATTTAAGGGGAAGTATAACATATGGGTTAAGGTATGTACTAAAATTAAATATATAACATGTAGGACAGAGTATGTGGTATTTTGCGATGTATAGCACATGGGGCAAGTTACACAGTGCAGGGGGTGTATTATATGGGGTACACACCTTCTGATGAAAGGTAGTAATCAGCATTGAAATGCCAACATGTGTCATCTTCAACATACGGGGCGGTGGCAGGCTGCATAAGAATGAGGAAGAGGGTATTGGAGGGCAAAAAGGGAGCAGCACGATAGCAGTGCCAGCATGGGATGTGTTGTGTGTACAGTGCCAGCATGTGGTGTATAGTGTGTATAGTGCCAACATGTGGTGTATAGTGTGTGCAATAGTGCCAGCACGTGATGTGTAGTGTGTATAGTACCAGCGTGTGGTGTATTGTGCCAGTATGGGATGTATATTGTGTACAGTGCCCGCATGTGATGTGTAGTGTGTATGCCAGTATGGGATGTGTAGTGTGTATAGTACCAGCCTGTGGTGTATAGTGTGTATAGTACCAGCCTATGGTGTATAGTGGCAGCATGGGATGCATATTGTGTACAGTGCCAGCATGTGATGTGCAGTATGTTCAGTGCCGGAAAGTTCCCCATAGAGCACAGCAGAGACAGGATGGGATGTGTAGTGTGTATAGTGCCAACATGTGGTGTATAGTGTGTGCAATAGTGCCAGCACGTGATGTGTAGTGTGTATAGTACCAGCGTGTGGTGTATTGTGCCAGTATGGGATGTATATTGTATACAGTGCCAGCATGTGATGTGTAGTGTGTATGCCAGTATGGGATGTATGTATAGTACCAGCCTGTGGTGTATAGTGTGTATAGTACCAGCCTATGGTGTATAGTGGCAGCATGGGATGCATATTGTGTACAGTGCCAGCATGTGATGTGCAGTATGTTCAGTACCGTAAAGTTCCCCATAGAGTACAGCAGAGACAGCATGGGACGTGTAGTGTGTAGTATACAGTGCCGAAAAGTTCCCAATAGAGCACAGCAGAGACAGCATGTGTGGGTGAACAGCCTGTAGAAAATAACAGAAGTGCTACATGTGGTGTATAGTCTGTGTGATGTAAATAAATACATTTGGGACAGCAGTGTCAGCATGTGGTGCACAGTATACACAATACATGATTACTGTCCCCGCAGTGCCCCCCTCCTTCTCTTACCTCCATATGGGGCAGTAGATGGGGCAGCTGCAGCCCGGACACGTTGCAGAGTTGCAGTCGGACTGGATTGAATTGTGAATTGAGATCCGCCTGCTGGGAGGAGACTCACCACTACTACCCCTCCTTCCCTCCTCTGCATGTACTACTCCCCCTTCCCTCCTCTCATTCTGTACTACTCTACTACTACTGCTTATACTACCTTTTTCCTCCTTTCTCATACTGCTCTTGATTCTCTTCTCTGCCTGTACTGCTTCTCCTTCCCTCATCTGTCTGTACTACCCCTCCTTTCCTCCTCTGTCTGTCCTACTTCTCATTCCCTCCTCTGTTTGTACTATTCATCCTCTACTACTTCACCTTCCCTCTTCTGCCTGCATTCTTCCTACCCACCTCTCCCTGTACTACTCCTGCCCTCTTTTCTTTGTACTCCTCCTCCTTCTCTCCTCTGCCTGTACTACTTCTCATTCCCTCCTCTGTCTGTACCCCTCCTTTCCTCTTCTGTCTGTACTACTTTTCCTACCCTCCTCTCCCTGTACTACACCTCCTGCACTCCTCTCTTTGTACTACTTCTCCTTCCTTTCTCCTGTCATCTGTTCCCTCCTCTGTCTGTACCACTACTTTTCCCTCCTCCAACTTTATTCTTCCTCTACTCTCTCTGTCTGTGCTGCTCCATTGGTCCTTTTACTGCATACTACTACTCATCTCCTGTATCTATACTACTGTTCCATCCTCCACTCGCTGTAGCACGTGTCATCCTCTCCTCTAACTGTACTTCTGCTCCCTATGCTACTCTCCTTTCACTGTACTACCCTTCTCACTATATAGTCTATATACCATCACTTCTTCTTTCCTCCTCCTCTCCTCTGTCTATACTAATTCTCCTTTTCTATGTTGACTGTACTACTAATCTCACTATACTACTCCCCCTTCTTGTCACTGTATGGATATTTCTCCCTACTGCCTGTACTACGTACTCTTCCTCACCATCATCATCCTCCACATATCCTGATATTGCCTCTGCTTCACCCTCCTCCTGTTAACTTCCATGTTCAGTCCTGTAGAGACATTACTAAAAATCTTCCATCATCTGCAACAATGACATCCTTATCACTTCTACAAAGTGTAATGCTGCTGTAATATTCTTCATTCTCATTATCAACATGTTTATCCTTATTGACACATCAATGAATATAATCATTATCTGCTACACTGTTTAATTATAGTAATCTGAGCCCATCACTGTTTATTCTTCACACATTGCCACAAGTAACGCTTAAGCTTGTAACAATCTCCCTCCATCTATGTTTGAGCTCTCCATCTGTTCACATCTTTTATAATAATGTTCTCTCCTCAGCAACATTGTATCCCATCCCTGATTATTCTGACACTGATTGCTGAGAATAAACTAAACTCCTAATCCCCATCCCTGACTGGTATTAGTACAGAAACCAGAAATACTAATCTGTCATTTTATGATTCACTGTTTCTGTGTCATCGGACTGATTGTGGAGCATCTTCTGCTTCTCTGTTCACTGAGCAGAGGGAGGTGATGATGATGATGTACAGTGCAGCAACCTCTAGCAACCACAATGTTATCTTTCCTTAGTTTGCAGCAGTCAAAAGACTGACGGGTTACTATAGGATACTGCAATCTATAATCTGATCTGATAAAGAGTGCTTCTTTTTTTTAATCACAGGCCAGTGTGGAAAAAGTTTAAGTTCCTCTGGTACAGAGAAGGATGTGACTGGCTCAGTGTTCTCTGTACAGCACTGAAAAATATGTCAGAGCTATATAAATGTAAATTATTGATAGTGTATGACTGTTGTGTGGACAATAGAGTGTAAGCTTCTCTGGTGCAGATACTGATGTATATGGCTCAGTGTTCTCTGTACAACACTGTGGAATATGTCAGAACTATACTGTGTATATACACATATATATATATATATATGTATATA